TGCGCGCGTGCGCGCACGGGAGACGGGGGCCTGCGGTATGCATGCCTGTGTGCGTGTGCGGGTGTGTGCGGGTGTGTGCGCGCGTGTATGGGGGGAGAGGGGGCCTGCGGTACGCATGCCTGTGTGTGTGCGTGTGCATGTGTGTGTACAGAGGGAAGGGGGCCCTGTGTGTGCCTGCCCCTGTGTGTATGCACAGAGAAGAGGGGGCCTGCTGTGTGCGCACGTGTGTGTGCGTGTGTGTGTACAGAGGGAAGGGGGCCCTGTGTGTGCCTGCCCCTGTGTGTATGCACAGAGAAGAGGGGGCCTGCTGTGTGCGCACGTGTGTGTGCGTGTGTGTGTACAGAGGGAAGGGGGCCCTGTGTGTGCCTGCCCCTGTGTGTATGCACAGAGAAGAGGGGGCCTGCTGTGTGCGCACGTGTGTGTGCGTGTGTGTGTACAGAGGGAAGGGGGCCCTGTGTGTGCCTGCCTCTGTGTGCATGCACGGAGAAGAGGGGGCCTGCTGCGTGTGCGCACGTGTGTGTGTGCACACGGAGGGCAGGAGGCCTGCTATATGCACACCTGTGTGCGTATGCACGGAGGAGAAGGAGCCGGGTTTGCAGACACCGACGTGCGCACTTGTGTGCGCACGTGCACAGGGGAGAGGCGGCCAGGTGGTGCACTCGTACCTGTACACGCAGTGAGGGAGGCCGGTTTGGGCGCGTCCGCATGGGTGCGTTTGCGGGTGCGTTTGCGAGTCCATGTGCTTGCGCCCTCAGGAGTGGAGGCCCAGCGGGTGTGGGCGTGCACAGGAGGGCAGGAGGGGGACTCACGAAGGACAGGGGGCCCACCTGCTGGACCCTGCGGCCACGCCAGGCCTGTGCCCAGATTTCCAACAATTCCGCGCGTCCTTGGCGGCCAGAAGACGCAGAGCCCAGAAGGGGGGTCGGGAGGCCGGCTGAAGAAGCAGTTTCTTCGCAGGGTGGGCGTGGTGGGCCCTGACCCCTGCAGACCTGTCCACCCCGAAACCCACCCCCTCTAGAGCCAGGGCAGATTCGCCTGGTGCGAGGGGGCTGGGCCTTCGGATTCGAGTCCAAAGTTCACGGCTTCACCAGGTGGCGGCGTCCAGCAAGCCAGGGCGCAATTAACGTCTGTGAGCAGCTTTGAGGAGTGCAGGCCGGAGGCCTCTCTCTGTCCGTGAAACGTGTTATTACATTACACCCACACTTTGCAGGGTTTCGCAGTTTAACTGCTTTTATGCTGACGGCGCCCACTCCTGCCTCTCCGGTACAGCTCCACCCCTTAAAGCCCCGCTCCACCACCCCAGACTGCTTAGGATTTAATTAGCATGGGTCCCTTCTCTGGGCAGAAATCTGCACGTGCTGTGTGCTGATGAGCGCACAGCAGATGCTGAGCACGTGGCTGGCGGACGTGGGTGAAAAAAGGCTCGGAGAGGAAAAATCCCACAGATTTCTGTCCCTGAGAAGGACCTTGATCTCTGCAGGTCCCCTGATTGCCCAGCCTGCACTTCTGCATTTTGTTCCTCAGATGGTCAGGTGCTCCCAGCACTTTCCTTCTTTCATAGGAATTCCTTATTCTTAGCTAAATCTGAGTATTCAGCCCCTGATAACAGTGGGCCCTCTCCCAGCCTCTCAGACCAGCTCCTCCCTGAGACCTGGGGGCTCACAAAAGGAAACAAACTTAGGATCAAACCCCTTCCCTCCAAATTTAAGATTCTGCTAATTCAACAATGTTTGGGTCGGTAACTAGTACTCTTCAAAGTAATTTGTGCACAACAGTCGCTGTCCTGAAATATTCTGAACTTGCAAGAGGTCCCACAACAGTGAAAGCTCCTCGGGGCCCTGCTTTGCTTGCGGAAAGGGCAAAACCTTTCTCCTTTTTCTTCTCCACGGTCACATACCCCACAGAAAAGCCCCTGTATTAACAGAAGTAAATAACAGAATTTTCTCTAAAATTTTTGGTTGAAGATCCAGATATTTTTAGCCGCTGGCTTATCTTGAAATCGCTCCACTGGGTTGCTGAAATGCAGCCTTTCTGAGGAGGCCCATAGCTCCCTGTATTTGTCTAAGGCTCCAGCACCCGATGTATCTCTGAGCACAGGCTGTTTAGTAAACGTGATTCTTTCAATGATCCACGCATTCGGGTATTGACTGAAGCCACATCCCAGGGGCTGGTATTCGGCCCTGTGTGGCTGGGGCCAGCATCGACTTGTTTTGAGAGTTTGGGCACCAGATTGACGTGATGACCCCAGATACTGCATGGAGATGGTCTGTGCTGTGTTCATTAGAAGAAAGTGATTGTCCTTCCCAGGAAAAGTCCTTCATCTCCCGAGAGCTCTCTGCCTCTACGCCGTGGAGTCTCAGGTCCCAATCCGAATCCTTCTCCCCACTCCTCCACCCCGTTAAACTGTCCTTTAGGGAGAGAGAATTTTCTAATCCTGTTTTAACTCTAAACCTGCTTCTTGCACATCCTATTTGTCTTGGTTTTCCTCCTCAACCACACTGGTCTCTTCTTGGTGGGAAGACAGAGAGGGGACGGGGCTTCTGGCCCCGGGGACAGTTAAAAACAATATTCCTGGCTGTGAACAACGGACATTTTCCCATTCTCTGGTAAAATGCCAACAAAGTTGTCTTCAGAAAACTCTTCTCTGCTTATTTGTGTGTATTATAAAATGTAAGGCAAGCGGGGTAATGTCTCAGGCTTGAGATAAACCCCCGGCCACTGTCCCCAACCACTTCTAAGCCCCACCCCACCACCTAGAACACATTTTTATTTCTCTCCTACTTTCTTACCTCATTTCTCCTTTCAAAAACTCCCAGGCAGACCCTTCAGATTCTGGAAGGAGGGCCAGCCCCCCATCAATGGCAGTGCCCTTCACATTCCTGCATCCCAGAGACAGTCGCATCCATCACAGCCCGAAGCCACAGTTCCTTTGAAAATCACCCCTTGGATCTGACCTGTCCTAGACGGTCATAATCATCTAATTTAAAAAATCTCATTTACCCAGGTTCACCTTACCTGTTTTGTCTTCTACTTAACGCGACTTTGCTGACTTGGTGAAATCGCCTCTGCCCACCGACTGCACTATTCTTGCGAAGCCTCCCTCCCCTGTGACTTGGCAGTGCTCTGCATAGAATGACATCAAGATCATGTTCTTCCGTGGAATCCTACGATTTCAGATTGAAAGGTCTGTGTTCTCCTTATGTCATCTCCTTCCTCCATACAATCCATTTACCATCAACCGAAGGTGACACCAGCACCAGGAGCCTACGACATAATTTTGTTTAAGAAGCTTGACTTTGCATACAGTTGAGTAACCGTGGCCATTTCTCTGGTACGTGACAACTTTTCTTGCAGATTCATGGTAGGATCTTAGAGTCCAGTGGGTACAATGAGCTGACAGGAAGGGACGTCAGATTGCCTCGGATTAGTGATCTTAGCCTCTGTGAAGCGCGAATTCCTTTAGCTGAGAAATGAGTAGGGAAAATGGGGTTTATTGATAAGAAGACAAATCAGTCTCAAGAGCTGTGCCTTCCCCACACTCCTTCCCAAATGCTTCTGAGCCCCTCCTATGTGCCAGATGCATCTCTGGGTGCCGATATCATGCACATTGATAAGACTGAGATCGCTCAGGGTCACACGTGAGAGAAAGACTCATGTAAAAGCAAATGTTACATGGCGGGACAAAATTGTATTCATGACCGGGAAAGGAATTGTGGAAGCACAGGACCAGGAACAATGACTTCTCCCCACAGGCAGTCAGCAGGGCTTCACGGAGCAGGTGACATTCGAGATGGCCGTGACCAGCGCATGTACACAGCAGTATGCTCAAGTACACATGGCGTCCCTGGAGATGGGTTGCAGGACCCCCCATGGATACCAAACTCTGAGGCTGCTCA